ATCTCGTATCACACAGTACACACGGACATACTAAAGTGCTTATAGTGCTTGTAGTACAAATTTTGTCTTTAGTTATTCACATAGGATTGTACCACTTGAGACATTGTATTAATTTGTGGTATAATAAACACAGAACCTTTCGTGTATCTATCAAAGGACTGTGTCCCTATAGGTATCAAGCACAGCTCGCGAATATTGCCTTCTGCTATGCCAGACCAATAGTTCTCGTTTTTCCCTAGGATGGCGCTGCTTCAAAATTGTGCACATAGCGAATATATGAATCGTGCGGAAATTTTGCCGCTTGACGGGAGCGAACTATTAGGGGCTTGGCCACCTGGCAAGTAGAGCCTGAAGCACGAGAGATGTGAGACGCCACATCACTCCCCACCTAGTCACGACGATGGTGTAACAGAAAGAAGGGTCTTCCACGCTCCGTTGCGAAAGATGCGGGGCGCGTTGCCGCCGTGCGTGAACGAGTTCGTGCGATGAGCGAATCGTGTGGGGATTATTTATGTTAGCGTGTACCCGGCGTGGAAGATGCGGAGATGCGTGAGCGTATAAGTTCGAAGGGTAGAATCGCCAATATAGATATCAAGAGGTCGTCTATAAAAGATAAAAAGTCGTTTCGTCCCGAGAGCACACCAGGACTCATCAGTAAGGCTGATGGCGTGCTCCCTGCCTTAGACACAGAAGAGGTGTGGGTTTAGACTAACTCGATCGTGCTTACATATGAATCGTGCGGGAATTTTGCCGCTTGACGGGAGAGAACTATTAGGGGCTTGGCCACCTGGCGAGTAGAGCCTGAAGCGCGAGAAATGTGAGACGCCACTAATATGTATGTTGTATACAAACGAAAAAACTGTAAGCTAAAACAATTGGAAGACAACAAACTGAAAAATACTTTATGTAATATCTCTGATTTATCAGGGTTACCTATATCTTGTAAGGTACTGCTTAAAAGCTGATATTTTTTTCTACAAAACAGTAACTACTGTAATGTGTATCTTCAACATTATGGTTAGAAAATAAGGATATATTTATATTGATCCATAAGAGGTTAATATTAAAATAGTTTACAAAACTACTGCTGGATTCAGTGATTTTTTATACATCAGTATAACTACCTACGACCTCTTAACTCCTCTCGCTGGGACTTTCTTAAGTGTTAGAGTGCTTATTTTTTGTCCGAAATACTCGAGTTCAAGACACTGCTCCCACACTCTTCCGTGGGTACCACAAAGATTTTTCCGTATGCTCCAAACGCTGTGAAGCTCCTAGTCAATATGGTGTAGTAATACCGTACTATCTAAGAGTAAATGAAACGGTGCCTTGCTCTGCGGTGTAAAGCGTAACATACTGTCAGAGCAGTAAGAATCAACGGTGTCTCGTAACATTAATTCCTCAATATACAGATTTAATACGGCATACCGATTTCAAAGTAAATGAGCCATGGCTAACTACAAAGACGATGACAAAAAGAATAAAAATGGCTAAGTAAAATAAAGTACAAGAAAGTTTATGCAATTCTAAGTAGATTAAAAAAATTCATCATGACCATAAATTTCTATATAAAGCAAAACTTATGCTAATACGTATACAAAAACTACAAGGAGCTTTGATTGCTAAGTAGTTACAGCACCGTAGCTAGAGGAACTCGTGAGATTGTGCTTTTAAATCCTACCGGAAATTATCGAGATTTTTTCTCACGTTTTTCGATATGATAAATACCCCGGATGCACGAATCTGAACTTTCGAGTACTCGCCCAGAGCATTTATTTACGACTTAAAACATCTATGATACTATTTGAATATAATGCAAATAGCTAAAAAACGTAAGAAAAAATCACTGAAAACATTATTCCCTTAATGTTGAACTGGAAAAACTAGACCAACTTTATTTTCGTTGTAATTTTTTTTCTAGTTTCTTAAAAATGTTCTAGTCGAGCGCTCAAATCTTCAGACTTGTCAAAATTCCGAAAAACTACCTATGCAAATTTTAAGAACGAATAATAGGTTTTTCAGTCTAGAATGTCTAGACCTCTGAGGGTCATCTTTTTAATTAAAAGCCAAACACACACACAGGCAGCTTGTCAGGTGTAAGCACTAATGGTATTTTACAATAGTAAGTACAGCGAGTTAGATAGTTTACTGGAAAAAATCCTTCCATTAAACTTGATAATTTCTGAACTATAGTAACTGCGACCTGTCAGTAGTACCCAATAGGATGGATGACCGATTAGTTTGAGGGAAAATTAACAAAAGATTTGCATGAAAAATTCGCATTTTTATGGAAAGGAGGGTAGTTGGAAAAAAATGGACAAGAGAGGTAGTGATTCATGGATAACCACCCCTAGAATGACATCTAGCGCTCATACCCGTGGCAAAAGTTAAAGACTCAGGGGGAAGTTGATGGCATTAATCCAAGTAGTTCATAGATATCTTTAAATACATTTGAAGTTAAATATTTTATAGTAAGACGTGGAGCGTAAAAGTTCACAGAAATATTTGATTGTAAGTTCCCTAGCATATCCTATTCTATGTAATCCTAGTAAATTTTAGAAAATAATCCTGAGTATTCTATGTTAATAAAGACATGTGTCTTTATTTCATAGCCGTTAAAGGTATGAAGAGCATAGTAGATGCATATACTAGTGAGGCTAAGCCTTCTGCGCGCTCCACGTGACAATCCCCTATTAATCAACTATGATTACTCTCGTAGGTTTTGAGATAGGAGGCTAAAGGTTCTAAATTACAATAAAAATAGTCTTCATTATCTAAAAACACTTATTGGTGAATTTATTTGAAGAAAAAAATAAAAAGATATTACAATGAATCAGCTATAGTTGGTCTGTGATTGACAATCAACTACGATTTATAATAAATGTAAAGGAAAAACGATTATTTAACGTAGTAAAAAACCAGTGGAAAGTGGGTGCTTGGGTACTCAAGTAAGAAGTTATACTTCTATAAAATTATGTGGCGGATAATATAATTATAAATATGAATATACCGCCTATGAAACGATATTGTGTACGAAGATAGTGCAATTATCATGGGAATGAGCGCACCTACGATAGTGGGGTGTGGTTTTAATAAATGTTTTAATATTTATTAAAACCGCAATAACTAAACAATTATGAACTATCTATTATGGCACTATACAACATGAAAAATATAAAAGCTGGCCAATACAAGACCGTGCCCTTTCATTGAATCTTCCGAAACGACTTGCTATACTGCCTACGCTATATATTTGTATGTGTAACGTCATACTCACATTCATCTCATATTTATAATATTTTTTAATAGCATACTAGTACATGCCAATGAATTTTCCTTCAGAACGTTCATTACACATAGGTTTTTTTGACAGATATTATTTAAACATTAAAAGTATACTCAAAATACTATAAGAAATACCAAAAAAAAATTGCAGATCATTTAAATGTACCCTCTTTTACATGTAAAATTTAAAAAATTTGCAATTTAACATGTAACCTTATGGAAAAATCACGTAAAATTGTATTTATAAGATCTGTGTAAACCCCCTAATTTTTATTTTACGTAAGACTACTTTTATAGATAAACCTGTTTCATTTTTAAGTAGGTCTAGAATTTTTTTTTTTTTTTTAATAACACAGAAAAGAAGGAGTTAAGTATGCGTTAAAGCAAAAACTTAAGTACATCTATTTTAAAAAATGTCTTCACCGTTGCTGCCTACGTTTGCACTCTTCCTAGTTCTCTAAATGCGGAAAAAGGAAACGCAATAAAAATCAATTGTTGTATTTATACAGTACCAAAAATTTTATTTTCTCTACAAAAATCATAAAAAAATCCGAACAGCTGTACAAACAATTAATTATTAATCCATTTAAAAAAAACAAATTAATGATAAGTTAATAAATGTTTATTAATACATATGAAAGCTGCTCTGCTAATATATTGTTACGTAAGGAGGATATTGGTAAGGAGGTGCTTCGCGAGAATGATCAACACTTATTACTTCAAGGACCTTTATTCAAATCGTAATCTATTTACCAAATTTTTTGAAAAAAACGTGTAACAAAAAAATATATTTCTTTAAATAAATTATTTATTTAATGTATAATTAAATCAAAAGTAAGTGAAATTTTCTTAAAAAATATGTCACGAAAATGTTACTCTGTTAAAACTGTTTTTTTCTTTTCTTTATTATTTTTTTTCATTTAGAATTGGTTAAAAGTAAATGTCAAAATGTGTGCTGTAGTGTGAAAGGACTCTTTTCAAAGGAGGATGTTATGTGGTATGGTGGCATTGAGTGGTGTAGGAGGACCCAATACAATGACAGCAATGATTTATATGGGATGAAAAAGCACCGACTAATGATTAAATTGACTGCATATTTTACGCTTCTTGTATCGTTATAAGATGCTAAATTTATTTGGAAATTAAAAGATATCTACGGACTTCGTGGATTTAATATCCGAGGCTTTCTCCCAGGTTTTATTTAATCAACACAGTGGGCGCTGGTGCATATCATTTTATCTTGTTCATGTTAATGCTTGGAACTTGGAGTAAATAGAATACCTGAAAACTCTGCAATGAGTATTGGGATCTCAGAGGGTCACATGACTTCTGCAACATATATAGCTAATCGGGAGAAAAAAATAAGACAGGCCCTACGGGGTAAATCACTAGTCATTTTTTTACACTTTTAACAATTGTAATGTAATATAAGCCTTTGAATAATATGATTTCAAGGAGACAATGATACCTTAGCTTGGTAAGCGCTAACACACGTTTAACCTTACCAAAATCATGTTTGTTTACCTATCTACAGTCGAAAATGAAAGAGGTTTGTGCAGGTTAAATGTGCGTTTTATACGTTTAAAGAAAAGTCTTGAGCATCAAAAGATCGATTGAGTTCAGAAAAAAATAGCNTCACTGAATGAGACAAGATAGCAACACAAGATTTATCAGACTAGATAAAGATCTCAGTACTTCTGATCTACTTAACAAGAATGTGTAACATGATTATTGATATCATACATTTTAAAATGTGTGCCAATTACATAATCGATACACTCATGAGGTTTAAGAATTGCAACGAGGACTTAATTGAGCCAAACGTATGCCCCCATAGTATCGTGTGTTAGGGTTTGCTGCAGTTACTGCAGGGTTTTGCGCCTAAAAAAAATTACGTTTAAAAACTTTAAAAAAAGTTTTTTTGTTTATGTTTAGAAAAAGTTTTTTTGAAGTTTTTTTTTAGACANAAGCCCTGCATCAAAGGGATGTTGAGATTGAAGAGTTGACAACATCGTTACGACAAGTATTAGCTTCTAAGGATATGTTAAACATAAAAGTCAAGTTTCTAAATTCATGCATTGAAAGTTATAATGAAAAGGTAAAATTAATTTTATTAAACGGAAAAATTATTTTAAATTATCAATTATTACTGTTTATTAATGCTTAAGTTAGAAAATACGATAAGTTATCGAACAGAGACTTCATTGTTAAGCTTACACGAACAAGGCAGAACGTTAAAAAATTGGAGAATTCAAAAAAACACAATACACAAACTTGGGTTACTTTAAAAATCGAATTGGATATCTCAAAGGATAAATGAAAAATTATTATTTTTCTGTAGAATAAAATTAGTTAATCATTGACTGCAGTAGCGTAGAACAAAAAATAGGATAAAAAAAACAGTTTGAAGTAAAAAATCTCCAGCCAAGCATTAAGTTAAAATTGGTGATGTATGGTGGAGAATAAATTACCTGTGGCATCACTACCACCCCACAAACTATGACCGGCTTTTTTGCTGACATACAAGTCTTTAGTCAGACTTTCGATTTCAGTATGATTAGATACTTCTTGATTGCTAACCAAATATTTACTCGGAACATTGCTTTTTTCAAATAGTAAACACTGTTTTTTAGAATAAGTGCGCAATTCTTCAATCTCTTAGGTGTGCTTTCCCTCCTATTCTGATTTTAATTTTTGTATCTGTTCATTTGCTTCCTTGATGTTTTTTAGCAATGGCTGAAATGTTTTTTCCAGTTTGTCAGTTTCTTGGGCTTAGACTGCACACAAAATTTTTAATGAGAATTTTTTTCTACTTCTCAGTGATTAATAAAAAAAATTTTAAAGTATCACCTACCAAGTGACAAATTTATCATACTATTATCCTTTATGGGCCGGGGTAGTTCTACTTTGAAACTAGTTTTGAGTTGCTGAGAGTAACGAAGAGCATTAAACAAAAGTTCATTAGAAAGAATGTATATTGCGAATTAAAAAAAAATTTACACTAACTTTTATCTTCTTATGAAAATTTATTTGTTAGCACTGGTTTCAGCCACAATTTTGTTTAATATTACTTTCGTATTTTTTGTTTATCTTCAAAACTAGGTTATTAATTAACTTACAGTGCTTTTATTTTGAATATGCTTTAAAAATTGTTATCTGTTTCTCTATAGCTATTTTTTATTCTTCCTTTGAGATATTCAATACAAGCTTCGAGATTTATGTTACCACTGGAAGATTTGATGATTTTAAGCTCTTGGACGAACTCCTCTTGATTCATCCCACGAGTCAAGAAGATTTCATCCAACTGTATATATTATTATCGTTACAAACTAGATGCGCTTAAAACACACTTTTGGCTAATAAAATATACATTCATAAAAACAGGTAACCAACTTGGAAGATAAATTACGTGAGGCCGAATCGAAATTCACCGAGTCCGAAAAGAAACTAAAAATGTCCACTGAAAAAATTGATGGACTGCGCTTGGTAATCCAGGATTTAATGGCACATGCTCAAACCAAAACTGAGAGAGAACAGACCCTCAACCGTCATGTTCAGGAGTTGGAGGTGGTCGTTATCGCGCGGACGACAGAAAAAGAAGAGCTTATCAAAGCTAGCGAGAAAAACAATCACGCAATAAGTCACTTGCAAGCTCAGCTTGATAATAAAATTCAGGAAATTGAAGCACTGAATTCATACAGCTCAAGCACCACCCAGCAAACCGAGGTTCCTCCACCCAAACAGATAAACATGACACTTCTAAGCGATCAACAAAAAAAACCACTTGACAAACTCCTTGGGCTTGAAGAAAGTTTGTCGAAGTATTTTCAAGTTAAGGATAAGATGATTAAGAAGGTCAAAGATTTGGAGAAAAAAAAGAACGAACTGTTACTCCAGCAAGAATATCTTCTGGAGACATCATCAAAGCAGCAATTGCAGATTGAAAGCTTGCGGACAAAACTGGAACAGAAGAGGTGGAACGAGCCAGATGCCTATAGACAAACTATTTTGAGACTGAGCTCTCAAATATCTGAACTCAGTAACAAAAGAAAATTTGATAAGCAGGTTTTATATTACCAGAATGTCGAGGTATGATACATTCAAAATTTATAGTTTTTGAAAAAATTGTAAAATTTAGGTTTGCGTAATAAAAATAAGTAACAAATAAATATAATCAGAACAAAAATATATGTTTTTACTTAATTTTTTTCAGCTGAACGAAATAAAAGCTCGACTGGAGCGTGTAAGTTCTACTCTTGCTGGTAAAGAAACTGAGCTATTAAAAGTTTCCCAAACGAAAAATGAGGCGATGGGAAAACTAAGTGACGAAATATCAGTTTTGACTTCGTTGCTCAGTGAAAAAGACAATGAAATTTTTTGCCAGCAAGAGAATCTCAAGGAGAAAGAGAATTTAATACAAACAATAATGGATGACTCTAAAATTTTACATAGTTCGTTAGAAATGATTCACGCAAAAATCAAGGAATCAGGAAATTTTCTAGACCTCCGTAAAAAACTAAAGCACGAGCGTAGGAAAAACGCTAAGCTATCAAAGATGATCACGATGTTGAAGACTGATTTAGAGATGGACACTTTGAGGCCACGTAACATATAGGACGAATAGAAATTAAGATCAGCAGCTTAAACCTACTACTTTTTTACCACGGGTATTAAGTACATTGTGGGTGCACTCTGTTTGCAACGTTTGCTCTTACTTTGTTTTAATATTTAAAAACAATTAAGACAAAAGTTCTGCAGATTCGTATGGTTATAACACAAAAAAATTAAATATTCACACAGCGTTACTATCTCAGGCCCAAAATGTACATGTTTACAATAGCAGACATCAAACAGTCGGTGTTGTTACGTTTTGTATTATGATTCATAAGTATTTTATTTTAACAAAAATAGAAAAACTTATTTGATCCAAGAATGAATATTGTGGTGCTGGTCTGTTAACTGATATTAAGCAAAGCTTACTGTCCAGTTCTTAGAATTAGTTAAAAGTACATACGTATGTATAAGCATTTCTTTATATATCAAAATCCACTTCCAAGAAGAGAATTGTTAAAAATCATATAAAAAAACACCCGCTACTGTTTATTCCCAGGCTTAAACTTCAGAAATACAATAGAACCTCTTAACCACTAGAAATTAAGCTAGATAATTTCTTTACATTAGAGCTATAATATTCAATTCAATAGTTGCCAACAATATTGGATTTTAATTGATTCATCTATATGTATCTGTCATCCTCGAAAAAGAAAAAATCTTATCCTATAGGCAGAATTGCATTCCTAAGAAATTTAGCACATAAAAAAAAGTTTTTTTTAGGGCTGCAGCCATTTTTTAGGTTTTTTGCAAATTTCTCAATACTATGACTGCACAAACTAAAACATAGGTCAATAGAATCCTCTCAAATAAGGATGAATCATTTGAGCCTTTGAACGTTACGCTATGTTAATATTTTATAATTTTGTGTGCTAACCTCACAAGTCTGCATTAATAAGTCATTTAATTTTTTTATATTAAAATCATAGTATATTAGATACTTAATAAATTCTATGTTATACTATAAAAGACTTCAGCAAAACAAACTAGTGCAATAGTCACGTCTGTAAATTTATTACTGTTAAGAATGCATGCTTTTTAGTAAGTAAGCTTTTTTCTAAATATGTACTGCCCTAATTTTCTCTAAATACCAAGCCACTAACTTGAGGATTTCTATATAAAGGATTGTGGTAACGCTGATAAGTAGAATAGCGTCCTTCGCTAAAAAGCGGACACAAATACTGTTACTTGATTACCGTGTAATAATTGATTAGCAATCACGTAAATGTAATGAGACAGTTTCTATAGAATCTTGATAGATATTTCACCTGTCTATTAGGTGACTATAACTTAATTTTTTAAAATTATTTTAGTGTTAGAGATTCTACATTTATGTATATAATAAACAAAATATTTTATGAAAAAAAATGTAATACGTATCTAAGTACATAAGACGTATAATAGTTAAGAAATTATTGTCAAGTTATTAACAATATTTATTTAAGAATTGGAATAATTAGAAAAGGTATCATTGTAAATATTCAATACCATTAAGATCTCCTAAGGTATGAATTAACGTTTGTATTATATATAATTCGCATCTATGTTGTAGCTTACTACTAGTTATAAATTTTTGAGTAAATATAATACGTTGTACCTTACATAAGAATTTTGCTTTTTTATTTTAATGATATCTTCTAAGCATAACAAATGCAAGAAAATATCAATGCGTGTGATATTTAAGTAAATTGTTGGTACATTCTTGATATTATAACGCTATTAAGCAGTATAAAAAACTCTACTGTAAATTGATATGAAACTGCTAAAAGGCCTTTAAAAATTTCAATCTTGAGATTAAATAGAGAATAAAATTTTCTAGCGATTGTTGATTTTGGCTTCAGAACTTGATTCTTTTGATTTGACCTTATTCTCCAAACACAAAAAATTAAATGTTTTGAAAAGTATTAAACGTTTTTTATTCTTATTAGTTTATTTTGTGAAATTCTTTGTACAATATTTACAGTTACTCACTGACAATCGTTAACAACTATTAATCTCAAACAGATATTTCGTGTAACGTAGTTTTACATAATTTTTAAAGAGCTAATAATAAATAAAAGTGAAGGAAACAACTGCTTTTATAAGTATTTTGGTAGTGCATACTGCAACATTACACTGTTATATTATAAAAACAAGATTTTGTTCTTGACTAGAGATTAAATAGAGAAAAAAAATTTCTAGCGGATTCCTATTTTGTTTTCATAATCAGGTTTTTTTATTTAACTGGAATCTACAAACACAAAACATAAAATGTTTTGAAAGGTATTCAACATATCTCGTACTTGTTAATTCATTTTGTCAAATCGTGAAATTGTTTGTACAAAATTTATAGTTACATAGTGACGATAGTTGACAACCACTAATCCCAAACAGTTTTTGTGTAACACAGTTGTATAAAATTCTTTATGAAAAACTGGTTATAAATATTACTAGTACAAAAAACAGTCACTTCTATAAGTATTTTGGTAGTGCATACTATAACATCATACTGTAATATAATAAATACACGATTGCGAACATGACTGCGATATTAAAAGTAAAAAAAATATTTCTCATGCTTTCAATTTATTTCTCAAAACAGTTTTAATTTGGGTTTTAAAAAATTTACCTATCATCGCAAATAGCGATTATTTAAAATTACTGGAGTTTTATAAGCAGAAAGTAGCATATTTATTTAGACATATTTTGGAAATAATCATAGCATAAACCGAAAATGATAATACCAATTATTAACATTAATATGAGTCAAAATTTATCTGTTCTTCAACACCCTTTGCTAGTTGTTAAGCTATTGTAATAGAACGCACTAATATTTATTTAATTTTTTGTTCCACTTTATATATTGCTATGATCATAGGAGGAAGAGAAAACTTTAGGTACGTACATGAATACTTATGTACGCAACCACGTTACACATTGAAAAACGTCTTCATCAATATTCTCAGATTCCTTAGGAATATGAATAGTTAAGTAAGTATAATAAGTACAATTGATACTGTCGTGTTAAGTAACAAACTTTTCTGAACTACAAATGATATTTTTTATGAACTTTAGTGTGAACAGTTGTAATCTTTAACTTTTTTTTTTCATTTGATACATTAATCCGATGTCAATGCGGGGTATTATTTTATAATGTTATGGTATAACTGATCAGTTTGACAACTATCTTTCAGTCAAAGTATTTTACCAAGTTTAAAAATAAAAGTTGTTGGTTTTTGGTAAGGGGTGCTTCGCGAGAATGATCAACACTTATTATTTCAAGGACCTTTATCTAAGATACCGTAATCATAGGCAAGATAGCGCGTGTGTTTCCTTTAAAGGCTCATCGTGTACTCCCCCGATAGACTCCCTCCTTGCTCGCGCTTTCCTTCCCTTGGCCCTAGGGCTCCTCGTTACAAGATTTGATAAGATAGAGCGTAGAGTCTCACCTGTACTATCGTACATTACACGTCCGAGGCCGCGACGTCGTTGTCCTCGACGACGCTGACTTTTTACTTTATGTAGAGCCTGTGTACTTGTTTGCAATCTTATCTGTGTGTGCTGTTTTGTGTTCTGTTGTTTATACTGCTTATGAAGTTTAGTATTTTACACTCATTCTTTCATTTAATTATAGGGAACCGCTGTTCTCTTTACGTTAATATTTTTGCTCTTCCAATTATTCAATTTCTTCTCATCGTGTGTCGACTGTATAACAATATAATTGGGTATGCGCTTTGCCTTGTGTTACAATTATATACAAAATTGCCGTGAGGTGGGCATTTGCTCAAAACTACTTTACATTAAGTGTTTTCTTACAATGTAGTTTTCATTTTAACTTTCACATGCGTCTATTTACCAAAAAAAAGAATTCCGTCTCTTACCGTACCCACACTTAGCACCAAAACTGTTACGTTGGGAATATATTGGTAAGGAGGTGTTTCGCAAGAATGATCAACACTTATGATTTCAAGGATCTTAATTCAAGATACCGTAATCATAGGCAAGGTAGCAAGTATGTTTCCCTCGAAGGCTAGTCGTGTACTCCCCCGATAGACTCTCTCCTTGCTTGCGCTTTCCTTCCCTTGGCCCTAGGACCCCTCGTTACGAGATTTGAGGAGAGAGAGCGTAGATTCTTATCCATACTATCGTACGTTACACCATAAAATAAAAAATAAAGAAAAACTTACCACTCTGACTAGCTTAAAACATCTTACAAATATTAGAAAAACGTTGATTCTGAAACTTTCAGTACTGTTATATTATTTCAATATTCGTAAATGGCTTATTACTAACGATAGTTAATTGATAATGTTATTGCGAATAATTTAAAACGAAATTTTTTTTTCTAGAATAGTATTTCTCAAGTTTTCGAGGAAAAAGAATTTTTTTTTTTTCATTTCTTATATTTTTGTATTTAATAGTGCCACCCCTATGCCATGGCATGGTTGGTGTAGGCAGTACACCACTGATTTCTTCGTTACTCGAGCGAGAAGTTATACTTTTATAGCATATAATGTATGAATAAAAATACACTTTTTATAAAAAGATATCTTTAATAAACTTTAACGTATCAAATGTGATGCAATTATCCTTGGAATTATGATACTTGTGGTTTAAGTATGGTTTGAATAAGTACTCTTAAGTTAACCAGTTAAAAAAATATATTATGTAGGTAAGAAAAGTTTAATGTAAAACCATGATTAGACATTTGACAGGCAGGCCAGTACGAGGCTACACGCTGCCATCAAATTGTTTATTTTTTCGAAACAATTTTCTACACTGACAAAATTTATATCGTTACGATATCATCGGTCACATACATTTACACATATTTATTCTTAGTTTAGAAAAGTTTATCTTAAATAGGGTAAGGTATTATACGCCAGTAGTAGTAGTTTAACTCAAAAAATTACTTTATTTACAAGTTTAAAAATTTTGGAAGTATTAAACGTGATCAAAATCATATTCATAGAACCATAAAGCTAAAACTAGCCTCACTTTAAATTAGTATCATCAGAAATAAAT